GCTCTCGTTATTCCTTGAAAGCGACTCGTTAGAGATAATGGAAGCCTTACGTCGGAAAGAGGCATCTGATTCTTCCTTTGGTGCCTATATTGAAGACTGTTCTAATTTACTTCACTATTTTTCTTTCTGTTCTTTTGGTTTTATTAAAAGACAAGGCAATTGTCTTGTCCATGCACTTGCTTAAATGGACGATTTCGTCTATGTTGAGGGTGATACTCTTCCTTTTGAAGTGGCTTCCTATGCCTAATAAAAGTCATTTTAAAAAATAAAAAAATAACTATACTATAGTTTAACACAATAATATTGTTATATTAATCTCTAGCACAGTAATATTAAGACACAAAACTTATTATTATTGTGTAATAGCGTAATATTAATATGTTGACCGTTCAACAAAGGTAAACATAATAAAAGGCCAAAAGAATTAATATAACTGTGAGTGACAATAATATTACTATAACAACAGTAATATTACCGTCAGTCACATTAATATTATTATGTTTACAGTAATATTATTATGTTTACAGTAATATTTAGGGGTGTGAACGAGCCGAGCTCGAGCCGAGCTCGCCTCTTTTGGCTGGCTCGAGCTCGAGTTTATTTTGTCGAGCTCGAGCTCGTCGAGTTCTTCTTTTTCTGGCTCGAGCTCGAGCTCGTGTTAATTTTGTCGAGCTCGAGCTCGAGCCCAATCCCTTTTTTTTTTTTTCTTTTTTTAAATATTATTTTATTATTATTTTATTATTAAAAAATATTTTAAAAAAATTACAAAATAAACACAAAATTGTGATTATATATTTTTTTAATATTTGTATTTATTTCTATAATATTTTATATTATTATACATTTTGAAATAAAAATAACATATAAAAAATAAAAAAAATAAAAAAAATAAAAAAAATAAAAAAATATTAATAAATCCGGCTCGCGAGCCGGCTCGCGAGCTGATGAACAACTAAAATCGGGCTCGAGCTCGGCTCGTCAGAAAGCTCGAGCTCGCGAGCTCGAGCTCGAGCTCGAAAACCTCGAGTCCGAGTTCGAGCTTTTTACGAGCCGGTTCGTCGAGCTCACGAGCCGGCTCGGCTCGTTTACCACCCCTAGTAATATTACAATAATAAACAGTAATATTATTACGTTACTCCATGAATAACTCAAACAAAACAAAAAAACCCAAAAAAATAATAATATTGATGTAGTTGACAATAATATTATTGTGTTTACAGTTATTTACTGTAAACGACAGTAATATAATTACGTTGACTTGTCAACAAATCAAAGAAATTGAAAAGTCAACGCCGGAGATCGGCAGTAAAATATATTTTTTGAAAAAAAAATGCTTTTTAAAAAAAAAGTCGAATTGGATTTTTGTGGTCAAAATTGATTAAATTGGGGTTACAATTAAAAATTAGGTGTAAAAGTTTGGGGGTAATTTTGTCATATACATGAATTTTTCATTTATTTATGATAAATATTAAAGGGATGGACTTATTGGCGAAAGAAATATAACCCATAAACCTAAAATAATAAAGATAGTTTGTTAAGGACTTATGCACTAAAGCCCCTTCTTGAATAGTTCTAGGATATTCGTTTTGAAATATCTAGATATGAATGCTCTAGATAATTATTTTACACTGCACCGTAGAAGCAAAATGATCTTATTCATCCAGTAGCTCAGATTTTAATATAAATAGGGACTTAAATCATTTGTATAAACCATTGGAGAATTTAAGACTTTCAAGCAGCATTCTATATATTCTGAATACAGAAACTCACTTAAGTTCTCCTTTAAACATTGCACTGTCTGCAATCTAGGTTGAGGCCCACCTTATTTTCTTCGCACAGTCCAAAGTTCCGTAAACGCAAAATGAGTACGTGGTCAAGCTCAATGTTTATAAATATTAAAATTATATAGGTATATTTATTAAATTTAATAATCTATTAATATATAATATTCACATATTTTAAAAGGACAAATTAGATATAACCCCAATAAGAAGAAATTAAATGCATATATGTCTAGTCCAAAAACACCACCATTCCCTAGGTTTATTTTCTCTAAAATACCGTTTATGATATAATTTAAATCACTTTGGGTCATTCAACTCTCTTATTACGAGTGGTGGACTTCAAAATTGAATTAGGAGTCCAAATTGATTAATTGTTGATATTGGGCCTAAATTAGAATTTAAATCATAAAATTGGAGTTGAATTGACATTTCAATATGTTAGGATAATCTTAATATATAAAAAAAAGTTTTCCTCATTAGCAAATAAATTTAAATGAGATAGATATACTTGCAACACAAAGAAGTAGAGTATCCCTTTTTTAAAGTGTGTTTGTGAGGATTTTTTTGGCAATTCACCTATTCTAAAAAGATATTATATACATTAAAATATTTTTTATTGTCAATTTTATTTCAATGGAATTGTGCATTAGAAAATAGTATCGCATTTAACAACTTTACATATATGTCATAGTCCGTATCCGGTACGACGGTATCACATTTTATATAATGGACAATGATAAGAAGAACTAACATGCAATGGGAACTAATGCACATGTAATTAAAAATCCTAAAAGTTATTTGTCTCTTTAAATTTTGAATTGGACATGTATATAGTTACTATAATCTTATATATAAAAGAAAGAAACGCTAGGCAATCCTAAGAAACGTTAATTGTATTTTAATAATTATTTATTTTTAATATTTTTTATGTACTAATTTTCTAATTATATTTTTCAACAATTATTAAAATTGACACTGAACCATGAAGAATCCATGCGGCTTCAATCTCCTATTTTTCGTCAATATATCTCAAATCTTAAGAGATAAAGATAGAAATTCGATTTGTTAAATTTTAACTTATTTGTTTGGATTATAATTCTTACTACGTAAAAAAACTAATGTTACATAAAATATGAATAGTATTTTCTTAAATTTTATTATGTTAGTGTATTATATTTTTATTGTTATCTATTAAATTGATTATTTTCTTTCACTTTTAAAATACGATCCCGTGCGATCCCGTGCATCGCACGGGAAAAGAAATGCTAGTTATTATAAAACAATTTGTGTTAATTTTACTCCCTCCATGATTCAATCTTTTAGAAAATATTCCCTAAAAAGGTATTTATTATTAATAATATATGTGGAGTTTTTTTCAAAAATTCAGAATAGAAAAAAATGATTCTTTTTACAATTTACATTTTATCACTAGTAGAAAAATAGTTTTTTACTATGATTTTTTTCTACCGAAACAAAATGTATATTATACTAAAGGACAATCTTGAAGTCGTACTAAATACTAGGAATCACCGTAGCAAAAAACTATCAGCAGCTACAGCCATTTACCGTATCAAAGTTTTTGTGACGTCCGTATATGCTACGGGAAGAATTAATAGCAAAATGCGTAACAAAAATCTTTTTACTACGAATTTAGTACATTTTACTACGATAAATGATAGTAATAAAAAACTATTTTTCCACTACTGTATCTTCTCTTCAATTATCTTTATCGTTCCTGTTAGAGATACATTTAAAGCATAATTACATATATAATAATTTTACCGAGTGTAGTATGAAACAAACCATTATTATTTAAAATATGTACTATTGATTAAGTTGCACATGTGAACTCACCAATTTGTATTACATACAAACTGCAGAAAGTTCTGGAACCTTCTTCACCATGTGACTTCTTTAGCAACATAGTAATAATTGAATCGCCTTGTGTGGATGCAATTTTGCATCACGTGAACTACTTCAAAACTTTGAGATTTTTTTTCTACACCAATCCTATATATTATTACCTTTTTGACATTTACAAAATTTTTGGATTTCAAAAAATTAATTCCAATTCATTTTCCAAAAACTTAGCAAAAAATTAAGAGTTGCAGTTTTGAATTTTAAATGAAAAAACTTGTTCCAAGATTGAAAATTTTCTCAATTAAGGATTCAGAAATTATATTTTTTATTCATACATGTTATAATATATGAAATGCTATTTACGGTTACAAAATTGCTATTTGCGGTTTTTCACAAAACCCCCCAAAATTTTTCAAAAAAATCAAAAAACCCCCCAAACTACAAATAGTAAGAAAAAAAAATCGAAAATTCAAAATCAAGCTTGAAGAAGGGTTGGGCTTCGATTTTTTGATGTAATTTCGACTCTTTTATGTGCAATATGCATTGGGTAGATCGATTACGGAACCAATTTCATGTTAAAAAGCCCTACAAATCGATTTGTATGGCTTTTTTTTCGCAAAAAAATGTTCGAACTCCCAAGATGGGCACCCAAGGCGTGTACGAACGCCCGTTCCGGGCGTTCTTACACGCCTTGGGCGCCCATCTTGGGCGTTCGAATATTAAAAAAAAAAAAATTGCACTGGACGCTCAACTCGGGCGCCCAAATGCAGCTTGCACGCCCAACTTGGGCGTGCACTGCATGAATGGCCGCCCAAGTTGGGCTTTTACGCGTTTTGGGGGGGGGTTGGATTTTTTGGGAAGTTTTGGGGTTTTAGTGAAATAAAGTGTTTTTTTGGGGGATTTAGTTATAAACCGCAAATAGCAACTTTCAAACCGCAAATAACAATTCCCTAAAATATGCATAATAATAAAATAAAAACGGATTGCGAATGGGAATCATGTATATATAAACTTCAATTCCAATCCACATACCATCGGAAAAATAAAAAAAATAACAATTAATATTTTTTGGAATTTATTCGTAAAGAAAAATATTGTTCTAAAATCAAAAAAATCGAATTGAAGTTGAAAAAGTTCGGGAAACTCGCGCAAATTTCCAGCCTAAACCCTAATGATATGTTAGTTTGCTTATCTTCTATTTCTCTTTCGATAGGTATTTCTTTTAGTTCTTTGCAAAAAGAGAAATTACGATCAACTTGATAATATAAATTAAGATAAACTTTAAAATTTGATCGAATTATTACTTTTGAAGTTACAAGCACTCAAAACCAAATTCATATATGGGCAATTCATATATAAATAAATAAAAATCATTATAAAAAACCAACAACTTTAATCATAAATTGTCCTAAATAAAGGATCTCATTGGATGCTACAACTGGTTATTTACACTGGGTGGATTTGAATCGTAAATTTGATTAAATAACTATCCAGTAAACACACATACACATGGGTGTGTGCGTGATTATGTGTAGATCTACGACTCAAATTGAATTAGTGTAAATAACCAAGTGTAATATCTAGTTTCCCGAAATCACATCCGGCCTAAATTTGTTCTAACTTAAGATAAACTAGTCATGCAGATTAAACTTTCTGACTTAAATTGCTGCCAAAAAAAATATTTCTATCCTTACAAAAATACTATGTGCAATCAAGAAGACGCAGGAATCCATTGATCGCCTTGTAAGAAATTCTGAACCGTATACGCGTAAGCACGCTCCGCCGGTATAACCGAACTCCAATTAACGCGCTTACTCGTATCAGAACCGGGCCCACTATTCTCAAATTCACCGTAATAAAGTGTCTTCAACGCGAAATCGCCATCCCAAATCATCCATCCATCGGGTGCAATAAGAGACCCCAAAGTACAACCGATAAAAACCGTTCTAGAATATAGCTTCCAAGGCCTACCTAGGTAATTCTTGTGCACGCTAGGATTGCTGTTGTACAACGCCACGTAATCATCCGTGCCGTTGATTACGCAGTTTTGAAATACGAATCCGGTCGACTGTGACGGATCGATTCTGCCTTGGGCGGTGACCGCATTGTTCTCTCCCTTCTCGGGATCGATTTGGCGGGGGGAGATTAGTATTAGGCAGTCTTGAAAGAAGGAAGCTGAGTTTCCGAATATGAAATCGATGTTGCCTTGGATGCGGCACGACTTGTAATATTGACGTAAGCTGTGGGCGTAAAGGGTATCTTGATTCCCGATGAATTCGCAGTTTTCTATTACCGAGAGATCGCTGTCTGATCGGAATGCAACGGCTTGGTAAGCACCGGGGCCCGCTGTGTTCTGGATTGTGAGTCCACTCGCCATGAATCCATCGCCAAGAACACCTTTTGTTTTTTAATTAGAGAATTAAATGTTAGACAATCTATTTATACAATCAAATGTGTCTATGCAAATTATTTAAAATACAATTAAATGTGACTATGCAAAAACAATTTTTTCTTTAAAATAGTTTCTTTTTTTTTTTTTTTTTTGATAAGAAAAATAGTTTCTGTTTCATTTCATTACAATCCGCATTATTTTCCTCGTCGCTATGGACTAAGAGGATGGAAATCGGATCGATCGGACCGAAATTAGCAATTTTGGAAAAATTTCGATTTTTCTTTTTGGGAAGTGAAAAACTAATTCAAATTTTGTTCCAAAAAAGTTTCCTAAAAGAATCGAAAATTGGAAGGAAAAATCTTGTTCACCGGAATTTTATGGGATCCAAATCACCGGAAATCTGAAATTTCATTTTTTTTTTAAATTCACCAAAATATATAAATTGGATAATAATATTGATACTATAAGTACAGTTTTCGGAAAAATGTTGGAATTTCTGGAATCTTGAAAATTAATTCAGAATCTCATTTCTATTTCAATTTCGATTAAAAAAACAAATTGAAAAAAAAAATCGGAATATTTTAATTTGAAGTGAAAAATATAGTTCCAAAATCAAAAAAAATCGGATTAGATGAGAATTATTTGCATGTTCTGGCTGTTCATACATATAACATGTGAAACAAGAGTTGTGCTTAGTGTAGAGATGATTATTATTGCAAAACAAGATTAGTAAAAAAATTAATTAATATAAACACACAATTAAGGGACATAATAAAAGAATAACAACATTTATACAACTAACTCACCGACAGTGGCGGAGTTGTAGGTGGACACCCCCAGTAGCCCCACATTCAGGGAACCTGTAATTACCGTTTTGCCCATCCCATCTCCCAAGAAAACCACGTTCCTCTTCTCCAACGGAATCCGAACCGTTTCCTCATAAACCCCGGTTTTTATCCATATCACGAACCGGCTACCCGACCCGTCATTATCCGGGGCGGCATCCACTCCCTCCTGCACCGTCGCGTAATCACACCCACCCCCGCCGCCGCACACCGTCACGTTCTCCTTCAGCCCGGGCGGCACGCCGCCCACGAACCCGGGAGAGTCCGACCCGGGCTCCCAGAACCCGTCCCGCTCCGTTTTGGGCGGGCCCCACGACCCGATTCCGTCGCGGTAAACGTCGTAGTTGACCATCATCCCGAGCGCGTCGCTGGTGGATGGGATGAGCGAGTAGTAGAAGAACGACATCGTTTGGCCCACGAGGGGCGTGTCGTTCACGCTCTTGAAACCCGACCAGCACCCGTACTGGTAGGCCAACGCCGCGCCCGTCCATGCACGCGCGTCCTTGAACCCGCCACGTGTCAGCGCGCCGTCCACCAGATTCAACCGGTACTCGGCGTACGTCAGCACCTCCAGCCCGGTTTTCGCGGCCACCGACCGGTTTTTATCCCCTGCGGACGAGTCCAGGATATCCTGCACCATCTTCCGACCGGTTTTAAGGTTCTGCGACGCCACCCACACGGCGGATTCGATCACCTGCAAGACGGTGGCGTCTGGTGGCACGCGATTCGACTGGGTTAAGGAGGCTTGGCACGTGGTAGGGTCACGTGACGCCCTGCAGGCGAGGCTGATGATTTCTTGGTTCGAATGCGGGGCGGCGCCGGCGCTGCCGGCTGCGGCGGCGTTGGGGTGGCGGACGGCGGAGGAGGAGATGGATATGAAGAGGATTAAGGAGAGAATGGCGAGGGAGAGAAAAACCGCCATTGAAATGAAGATAAACCTCGATTTGTTAAAATGTTGAGGATTGTTTGACAGAATCGGCGATGTGGGTGAATCTGTGGGATTCTTTTCCGGCGGCATTATATTTTTAATATTTGTTTTTCTTTTCTAAAAAAATGGATGAAAATTATAATCAAGTTCTTATTTCTGAGTGTAGTAAAAAGAAAATTTGTGCAGTGGGAATGTGGATATTTTAATGGGGATTTTGGTGGGGGTGATTGATGTGTTTTGTGCATTAATGGGGGTGATTGATGTGTTTTGTTCGATGCTACACCTGGTGAAATACACCGCGTAATTATTAATCGTTGATCTGTACATAATCGAGTGTGGCTATTTAGCATTTCAATGATATTATAAAAGTTTCTTTAAATAGTTTAGTTGTTGATTTATTTTACCTCTTTTAATGTGAATCTTTATATTTTGGTCAAAAATAAAAAGATTTGAAATGATCAGAGGTGCTAATTAGGGGTGGTTATAATTTACCATATATTTTATAGAGTAATTTTTCTAATATAAATAGTTGAGTTGTTGTTTCATTTTACCTTTTTTAATGTGAATCTTTATATTTTGATCAAAAATAAAAAGATTTGAAATGATCATAGGTTCTAATGAGGGGTGATTGTAATTTGCCCTATATTTTATAGAGAAAGTTGCTAATAGGTCATAATCGCTTAAAATAAATACCGATAAGGGTACTGAAATCCCTTTTTTTCTTGTTAGAAGTTCCTTGAAATATTAGGTCATTAGATAAAAGCCTTGTGAATCATGTTTGATATGCCTAATTGGCCAAACCCAATGGGCCTACAAATTATTTACCTACTGGGCCACGAGCCCAATATCGAAGATCATTATCACCGAGGCCCAATCACCTTCAAGTAAGGTTTGGGCCCGACAATCTCAACTAAGCTATAAATAAAGGTTGGAACTCATTCCTTAAGGTACGTCCTATTAACTGAGCAATACTACAATACATATTCTCTGGACTATTTCTATGATCAGCACGTCTGACTTGAGCGTCGGAGGGGTTTCCGCCGGATCAACCCCCGGCCTAGTTCACGTGTTCTATGATCGCAGATATCTCAAAGTCATCAAGCTCGTGAGCCAGTGATCCACTCTGCCCTTCCAGCTCATCCTACTTCAACTATCTAAGGTGATCTAACTTTAGCATCATCATTTTGGCGCCGTCTGTGGGAAGGCAAACACAATCACACGTAGCGCACATGATGGCCTTGAGACATCTGCTCAGGGGAGTGTGACACTGCTAACAACCTCCCACCTTGTGGAGGCTCTGGCTTGTCACATCCTCTTCCCCATGCTAGGGATCCACTACGAGGCCTTTCTTGGATGTCCCACTAGATCCTCAACAGGATTCACTTCCTCCCGCCCCTCGATCGGTTCAGACAACCGAGAAGGCCCTTCAACGCTAGTAAGGGTTATCGACTCCCTGGGGTATACAGTGCCCCCAAAACATTTCGCTCGCCAAGGGTTATCGACTCCCTGGGGGCTTACATCTGCCCCCAAAATATTTCGTTCTCCAAGGGTTATCGACTCCCTGGGGGCTTACCTCTGACCCCAAAATATTTTATTCGCCAAGGGTTATCGACTCCTTGGGGGTTTATAGTACCGCAAAAACATTTCGTTCGCCAAGGGTTATCAACTCCCTGGGGGTTTACAAGGCCCCCAAAACATTTCGTTCGCCAAGGGTTATCGACTCCCTAGGGGTTTATAGTGCCCCCAAAATATTTCGTTCGCCAAGGGTTATCAACTCCCTGGGGGTTTATAGTGCCCTCAAAACAAAATGGAACATTATCCCACGATGAGGACCTTCAGCGTATAATCGCGGAAGATTCAACTTGTGCTACCACTGAAATAGTGGAACCATATATCGTCATAGCAGGAGCCAACGCTCCTCCTCGTGAGGCCCCACTGGGTCCTCAACATGATCAACTTCTACTTACTTCTGGAACGGTTCAGATAACCGAAGAAGACCTTCAGCGTATGATCACGGAAGATACAACTCGTGCTGCCACTGAATCAGTGGCACCATATATCGCCAAGGTTGGGCATCTCATCCCAAGGGTTCGTGATCGCCTCATCTTAAGTTGGGGGCTATCACACCCTAAAGTTGGGCATCTCATCTCAAGGGTGGTACATCCACTTACCTTTCAACCCCAAGAGGTTTTACATCTCATCAAGTAGTTCACGTCTCTACTCCAAAGATAGATAGAACATCAGCAAGGGGTGGACATCAACCACCTAAAAAAAAAAAAAATAAAGAAAAAGAAGAAGACAAAAGAAGAAGATGAAGAAGAAGAAGAAAAAAGAAAAAAAGAAAAAAGAAGAAGATGAAGAAAAAAGAAACAAAGAAAAAGAGAAGAAGAAAGAAGAAGAAAAAAGAAAAAAGAAGAAGATAATAAAAAAAAAAAAAAAGAAAAAAAAAAAAAAAGAAAAGAGGAGGAGGCGCGCGTGCCGTACACGCGTTGACCCGCGCGCGCGTCAGCAGAAGAAAACAAAAAAAAAAAGGGGAAGAGACGCGCGTGCACAGCACGCGCGCGTGGCGTACACGCGCCTGACGCGCGCGCGTCAGCAAAAATAAAAAAAATATATATAGAGAAGGGCGCGCTCACGCGCCTGGGGGGCAGCACCTGCGCGCGCCTTCCCATGCACGCGCGCGCGCCTCCCAAGGCCACCTTGGAGCGCGCTCTCCCATCTAATTGGGCACAACTTTTACTACTCTCCACCAAATTGCGCGTAGATTTCACCTCGCTTCACCAAATCGCGCGGGCATTTCAACGCGCTCCACCAAATTGCGCGAGCTCTCCAGTGCGCCTCACCATATAGCGCACGATCTCTCACAGATTAAATAAGAAATATTATTTCTCCACACCACGCCAGCAATTAAGGGTACATCACAACACCGATCTACTCTCGACACGATCTGGTACCCTTTTCGACTATGCTCCCACATCGAACCGAGAGTGGGGGGCTTGCGAAATAACCCGCTGCGAGACAACTCCCATGAGGAGACCACTCGCTCGGTACTACAACCCGCAGCGAGACAACTCCCAGGAGGAGTCAACTCGCTCGGTACTACGAACCCACAGCGAGACAACTCCCACAAGGAGCCAACTCGCTCGGTACTACGAACCCGCAGCAAGACAACTCCCACGAGGAGTCAACTCGCTCGGTACTACGAACCCGCAGCGAGACAACACCCACGAGGAGCCAACTTGCTCGGTACTACGAACCCGTAGCGAGATAACTCCCACGAGGAGCCAACTCGCTCGGTACTACGAACCCGCAGCGAGATAACTCCCACGAGGAGCCAACTCGCTCGGTACTACGAACCCACAACGAGACAACTACCACGAGGAGCCAACTCGCTCGATACTACAACCCGCAGAGAGACAACTCCCACGAGGAGCCAACTCGTTCGACACTACAAATTCGTTGCAAGACAACTCCCACGTGCAACCACCCCGCTCGATAATATTACTCACCGCGAGACAACTCCCATGAGGAGACAACTCGCCCGAAATTCACTATATAATCGCAAGCTCAAGTTAACACGATTACAACCCTAGAAGCACTTAGAGATATTATGAGATTCCATATAGCCTGGTGTTACAGGGGTTAATTTATCACCGAAATTTTCCCTTGTACGGCCTGATTTGCCCACCAAACCAGTCAGCCTTCCTCACGATTCTCTTCGCACAAAACGTACAATCACCGAGTCTTTTCAAGCCACGTAAACGAGAACAAGAGTATGCAGCGGAAATCAAACACACAAGCACGTTTACGGGCAATGCCCAACCTTTATATTAATTCCCACAACGAATACAAAGGAGACTAAGGTGCACACACAAAATCCTCACTCAGAATTGCCCAACAATTGCAATCTGAACTCTCATATGCTAGATACCTCGGATTTGTGCACTCATAGCCTAATAAATACAAGGAAAAGGTAGTTTTCACACAAAACTACCTAAGGACACATGGCAGCATACAAACATGACACTTGGCCAACTATTACAAGTATAAAGGGGCAGTTTTCATGCATTTTCAGGCCTCAACCGCTCCATAACTTCCTCAAATCCGCCCACAAGGCTGATTTCCGAAGCCCATCTTGATCGGGCGCGCCCGCGCGCGCCGAACGGCCCAAACAGCCCGGCCGGTTGCTAGACAGCCCATCTGCCTTGCCTTTTCCGCACGTTTGCTTGCCTTTACCGATACTTGCTAGTTTTTGCCCACACGGTCATCGGTCACGCCCGCTCATCGGGCTGCCTTGCTTGCCTTGCCAATTTTGCCCACACTTGTCAAGTCGTGGTCGATTTCCCTCGAACGTTCGTTTGCCCACGTTATCGGCCGCATGCCGATTATTGCCCACGCTTTGTCCGTCTTTGCTGCCGAGCAACGCCCGTGCCAGCCACAAGTAATATCGATCACCGTTCCCACTTGAATCAAGCCGATCCTTGCTTTTCTCGGCCAAGCACCCCAAATGCTTGCCGATCACCCGACCACTCATTGGCCGGTTGTGTGGCTGCCTTGTGCCAATCCCCACTTGGCACCATTTATCGGTCATGACTCGGCCACACTCGAGTCATTACCGATATCACCGATTAAGGGGGTAACACCTGGCCAGCTTGATTACTCAAATTTATCTACTTGTTTTCGATGGGTCATTCATTAAAACGTGGCCACGGTCCAAACATACTTAAGACCCACGAGGTCTAACAAGGGACACGACCCCCATAAAAAAAAAAAAAAATCTTGAGAGTCTGATCCCCTCCTCAAGTACATCACGCACAAGGCTATATGTAAACACATATAAGCAATGCGTCAAAACATTGACAATGTCGAAAAATAACAACTCCCACGAGGAGAATACTAGCTCCGTGCTACTACATTATCGTGAGACAACTTCCACGAGGACATACTCGATCAACTCTATTACCCCAGAGACAACTCCCACGAGGAGCTTACTTGATCTGTGCTACTACATTATCGTGAGACAACTCCCACGAGGAGATAACTCGATCAACACTATTACCCCGCGACGAGACAACTCCCACGAGGAGATAATTCGCTACTACATCGTCGCGGGACAAAACCGACGACTCAATTAACTTACATCGCGACAACTTGGTCGCACTATGCGCCAACGCGCATTCACGCCCCTCCGACACACGCTCCAACGCGTTATCGCACACCATCGACTACTACAATTTTTACTCTCGACACGATATGTCACCCATTTCAACATGGCCCCCACATCGAACCGAGAGTGGGGGGCTTAATGATATGCCTAATTGGCCCAATCCAATGGGCCTACAAATTATTTACCTACTGGGCCACGAGCCCAATATCGAAGATCATT